TGGTTAAACTTCATAAGGTTGGTACAGGCCCACCTCTCCAGCCTGTCAAGGTCCCTCTGGATGGCATCCCTCCCTTCCAGCGTGTCGACGGCACCACACCACTTGGTGTCATCGGCGAACTTGCTGAGGGTGCACTCCATGCCACTGTCCACGTCACCGACAAAGATGTTGAAGAGGGCCGGGCCCAACACGGACCCCTGAGGGACGCCACTCGTGACCGGTCTCCACTTGGACATTGAGCCGCTGACCACTACTCTCTGAGTGCGGCCATTGAGCCAATTCCTTATCCACCGAGTGGTCCATCCATCAAACATCTACATTTTTATTTGCAGTGCTATTTTGGGCAGTCAAGTATGCAAAATGAAAGTAAATGGACAACCTTCATTCTACTAGTTTTGGTCCACAAAGACATGCTATTGGAACAGTTTCGAGAAGAAAGATCAACGTGAGGAATCTACAGGTTCTCAGGTACAAACTGCCTTTTTGATCAACTGTTCAGAATGCACTATTTCAAGTTTTGCTTTTGAAATGATTTCTCTTTTTAAATTTTGTTCTTGAGTTACTCATTGTAACACAAACAATTAAGAAAATAAAATTGAAATAATGTTTAGCTTTTTTCAAGACAAAATATATCAAAAAATCATACACCTATTAAAATCTTATATGGGAATTTAAATGTCAAACAAGGCAAACTTAAAAATCTGGTAAGTCTTTACAGAATAGAATTTTAAAATTCTACATGGTTCTGCTTAGAATGCTTGGTGTTACAATTTTAAAAACATTCTTTTAACTTTCTTGTTTTCAAATTTGTTTTTATACTTTATTTGGTGTATTTCATTCAAGTGACAGATGTTTAACTTTTCAGGAATAAGTAGTATGCAACCTTTAATTATTCAGTATTAAAAATGTGCATTTGTAGTTTACTTACAACTATCAATAATTTACAGAATCAATTAGGTATTCTTTAATCTGACATATAGATTTTCTGTGGTTTTGTCCATAGATTCTGTGAATTGTGGTCATGATAAAATGATGCATACAGTTCAGACTTTTGGAAGATATGATATTCTAACTGTATCGTGTATCATGGCCTCATCATAACACAGTAACATAGTACAATCTGTTCTACATGGTACAATATCATTATACCCTTATCCAGCCAAAACGGCTTGATCAGTCAGCATCAGTCACACAACTCAGTCTCAGAGATGCTGACCCAGTAAAGCTCACTTTCCTGTGTTCTAAGTATTTGAGTCATCACCATGGTTTCAGTGGCCTATTTTCCTAAAGCAAAGGAAAAGCACTCAAATTCCTTGTGAAAGTGATGATACTTGAGAGAAAGAATATAAGTAATTAAATTAATGGAGAGCTGTTGCCAGTTAAATGAATTCATACTCTAAGTACTTTATCACACCTCAGTAATGAACGGGTGAAAAAAGTATAAAGGCTTTTCCTGCAAGTCAGGTTAATACATTACCTCACAGGACAAACCAGAATAACCCAATGGGCAGTCACATTTCTCAATCAAGTGAGCCTGAGGAGTCATCCCAGACACAGTGCCGCCTTCAGCAACTTCCATTGAGATCTCAGAAATCCTGAAAAAAAGGAGCAAACATCTCTAATGAGATTAGTCAAGCACTAACTCAAACTCACTTAGTTCACAGTCAGCTGGCATGGGAGAAAACAGTCTTACTTGGCTGTTTGTAGGCTTCTTGATCTATAGGAGACAACCAGCACCATTTTTGCCTTTCCTAAGGGAAAAAAGCTACCACCACCCCCAGTCTCATTTTCCATTTCTAGGCAATAGTATAACTAACTTTTCTCTCCTGCTTGATTCTATCTCTTTTTTTAAATCTCTTTCAGCCAAACTATTAACAAAAGCTCATATCTGAGTCTTCATTTGGAGAGACTCATTAAGAAATTTAAGTCACATACTAGATGCAGTTCCAGTTCATGATTCTCAGAGGTATGGCAACAAAATTGTTTACTAAATGAGCTTTTAATAAGGCAACTATTTAAAAAAAAAAAAACCAACAAAACCTGTCCTCAGCAACTAAAGCAAGGTCTAGAGCAGACTTCAAAGACATTGGACATTTACCTTTTTAGCTGGAATTTTAAGATCTGTAGCCAGATACCCTTCCCCTCCCCCCCCCCCCTCCCGCCCCAGGATCATTTAGACATATAAACAACCAATTTAAAGCAAACAAGAAATCCTACTACAGAAGTATCAGCTAGTATCAGAAAGGGATATGTTTCATGGTAGAGCTTCTGACATTTTAAGTTTCCAAATATTTGCTTGATTGTATTAATAATAAAACCCTTGCTCTCAACCACTCCCTGTCTTTTCAGCATGCAAGCTGACCTGCCAAATAGCACTGAATACATCATGGACAAAGACAACAAACATGATATCTAATGAAATACACTTAATCCTAATGTACCACAATGCTGTTCTTTTAGTTTACTTCTTTATTTTGGGGGGCTGATGGTTTGTTTAAATGAATGCTATGATCTGGAATCCCTTACTGCCTTTGAGAAACAAAATGAACAGAACAGTATAAACTTCAAAGCTTCAAATATATGGCCAACCTAAAAGAAAATGTTGAAGAATGAGTGACTAACTAGCTGAATCAATGTTGATAATGCTGCTAGAGTCTATTAAGTGTCTGTGCATAGAGCTAATACAGAGAAGCTCACAGAACTGCTCATCTCCTCCTCATGCTCAAAGTCTGTTTATCTACTCCCAAACCTCGATTACTGAGTGACTGAGTGACACTCTTCTGCTCCTTGAAATATAGGTACCAATGTCAGGATAACTGTAGGAAAAGCAAACTCCCATTGCTGCACTAGATGAGAGTTTTGTGATTTGGCTTAGGTGACCTGACCTGTACCTCTTGACACCTTGTGTCAATGCAAAAATCCCCAAATCATCTAGTAACTTAAACCCTGTGCTCCTTTCTTACTACCTGAAGAAAGGAGTTCAGTGGAGCAGGGAAATTGAACAAAAAAAAACCAAACAAACAAGCAAACAAAGCCAGGTCAAAACAGAAGACTGATAAAAAAGAGAACAAAACCATTCAGATCTCATATGTCAATGTAAGCTTACACTGAAATCTCTGTATATTTAATGGAAAAAAAAAATGAAATCTGCCTCCCCATCATCTTCAAGGCTGAGGCAACTGTCTGTGTGCTACAAGAAACTATTTACTGTCAGAAAGCTGTATTTACATAATAATACACTCTGGGACCACAAAGCTACCTGTTGTTTGTGTGAAAATGTTACTTAAGGAAGGTCAGGCTTGGGTGATTCTTGGAACAAGTCTAATAGGCAGCAGTCCAACTACTGCTACCTGATCAGTGTCAGGGATATCGAAATAATTCACAGTCAAATTGAAAGCATACTTCCAATTCAAACTAATTTATTACCACAGCCCAGTTGCCTGAAAAGCCAAACAAAATCTAATAAAAGAAATGTTTCAATTTAGAGCGGTGAATGTGAAAATGAGGGCAACAAAATGAACAATATAGGAGAAAAATGTTTGGCTTTGGATTCTGAGCAGAAATCTCTAAATCACTAGTAATGATGCAGCTTTGAAGTAGAAACAACATTAGCATTGCTGCTAAACTATATAACTGATACAGTGCTAACTCTAGAATTAGACTATTTTTATGCTTCTAACTGCTGCTTTGACTTTATTTTAAAATGCTTTTCCTGTAGTTTATCACTTATCTGCAGGTTTTAAACCCTGCAATTGAAATTAAAGCACTACTAAAATTTTAAAAAATTTAAAAAGACTTCATATATAATATTTTCCTCCTCCCATACACAGTTTCTTTTGCTTTATACTTTTCTACTATGCACACTCAAGTAGAAAAAGATCCTTTACTAGTTTAGAACGAGGCCCTTATTTAGAAAGCACAACACACTGTTTAAACAAATGCTGTTATAAGTCACTTAATTCAAACATATGTTTAAAGTTGAGCATAAATATTGTCTTTTTGAGGTTCCCAGACTATTTTTAATAAAAGAATTCAATTCTTATGCAAGCTAATATTCTACTAACCTTTAAAAACATTTTGGGGGATTTATTTTATGGTCTTAAGCAAAACTTCCTCTGAAATCAATCAAAGTGCTAACTTGAAAAAAAAATAATAACGTATTCCTGGCTGTTTATTTTCTACTTAAAAGTCTCAGACACCATGTGATAAATGTTACCTGTGTAAGTAGACAGGTCATAAAAATCCATTGTAATACAACCACTCCGAAAATCAAATATGGTATGATATGCAAGGTTCTGACTTAGGTTGGAGAGCTACCAGAAAGAAAAGATGAACTCTTCACCAGGTCCTGCTCCCATTAAAAATGTCACATTCTGAAATGTGATGCTGTAAAAATACATTTTGGTTCTTTTAGTGCCACCTTGCAAAACTGCCCTGAAACTGAAAATGTCCTCCTCTGTTCTGTTACATGTCTCATTACTAGGTAGCCTTTATGAACCGGTGGTGTTTTACAAAGCAAGTCTAGTTCAGTCACAATGGTCAAATGCATCTCAACAAATCCATGAAAACAGAGGTTCATTTTCATAACTTATGCTGCTTGAGCTGAGATAGTATTCAGTTTTTGCTTCCACAACTGAACCAGGATATGTGGTGCTTAAAGGGAATTGAAGAGAGAAACAGACACAAAACACGGATACGCTTCTTAAATTTTCCATGTCGCACTGGAGTTACTTTCATGTCTCTTTCCACAGGAATTCCCTGTGTTTGTAATACAATATCCTAAATGGACTATGCCAAAAATAAATGAAACCAATGTAAAACATTTATGATATCTGTTGTTAATATTTAGCATCTAGCCAGTGCAAGCTGCATGAATACTTTTCTGTAGATACACTTTAAATAGACAATAGCAGGAACAATGATTTTGTTCTGTCACACAATGCTGCAACATTGCGTTGTGTGTGCCCCTACTATTCGCTCTCATAAACTCCATGTTCTTATAGACCTATTTGTGACCTAGAAAATCCAGAAATAATTTTAGCTTGTCACTTTTATGACAGAATCAAAGAACGGACCTCAGGAGACTTTTGGAGTTTATCTCCAATTAGTCCTGTGTCCTTGCTAACAATTTTCGCTTGCAAAGGATACTGTGAACTTGTTATCAAAAACTTTTAGGAATAGTTTACATAATCTGTTTCAGAACTTCTTTACTCCGAGGAATTTTTATATCACCTTTTTTTAAGGAATTATTATTTTTATTTATTAATTATTGTTATTTTAAGGAATGATTATTCAAGAATTCCTTCATATGCTAACATTTCATATTTAATTACAGCATCATGTTTTCATAAAGCAGTCATTTATTCAAAAAATACTTTGGGTTTGTTTCAGGACGTGTGGGCTTACTCTTGTTTTCTGTTCTAGGATCCTAAAAATAAAGATTTCGTTTGCCTACCATGTTTTAAATTTTCTATTGAATAAAATTTCTCTCTCCTGCATCTTCTGCTATGCTGAATGTTAACTTCTTCTGTTCTTCTCAAAAACTGCTAATAGCTTATGTTACAAATAAAAATTCTGCTGAGAAGCTCTATCAGGTTATCTGTGACTACTGCACTATTTCAGAACACTGCATGAAACGGTTACCTGCTCTGCCTCATGATATTGCCATGAGTAGCCTTAATAAGAATGTAATGAACATCATACAACACATTCAGGAAGTCTTCCCGGGATACAGCTCTACTTGGTCTTGAGTCATCTCCATAATGTTTCCATGTGAAATCTGCCTGGGACACCGTCCTGTTGACACCTGAGTCATCATGATAATATTCCCAGAGCACAGTGTTTCTGACTCTTTGGTCGTCACCATAATATTCCCATTCATGCTGAAAGACGGTAATACAAATGCAGATTATTAACAGTATTAAAAAGAACCAGGTGATTAAATCCAGGGAAAAAAAGCAGATGGAAACATTACCTCTGTCATCTCTATCTCATGCCTCGTCAGCTGCCCAATCAGAGGGGCAGCCATATGCCGGACAATAATTCTTGTGTGGGTGGGAGGCCCACCTCTGATGATGACTTGTGGGTAGTAAGTAGTAAAACCTGTCTCTTCTCGTGCTTCAAAGTAGATTGCATATTTCAGTTTCCCTCCATAAGCAGCCAGCTAACAAAGCAAAACACAAAGTACAAAAAGAAATCTCGTTTTCAGTTAGCTAAAAATAAATTCCTGGGCATGGGCAGGAGCTAGATACGCTCTGCACCTGTGCACAATCTGATGAATGTGCGTCTGGCAGAAAATAGCGATTCGTGCTTATGGAACTATCTGGGGATAAGGGCTGTGTTCAAAAATACTCATTAGCAATTTGTTATCGTACCACACTAAAACCAAAATGTTACCTATTTCCTTGTATGTGACTTGGTGCTTCCCAAAGTTTGTGTTTAGAGAAAGAAACATCCCAAGCCAAACCAAGAAATGTCAAAAGTGCAAAATAAATCGCCACAGAGGCACATAACAATATCCAAAAGGAGGGTTATTTCAATAATTTTCTCTTGTGTAACTTACAAAGATAGGCGTTTTTTGTATAAAATGGAGAAAAACAAAAAGTTACAAGAGAGTTATAGTAAGTTAATGCAGCTTAATTTTTCAAATAACTTTTTTATGAAAGAATCTATCCCGTGGAAAAATATTACATGTTACTGACTGTAAATATATTTTTTTAAATAGTGTTTATGTTACAGACTTAGGAATTTCCATGATAATGGAGCAAATATTTTTTAATAATGAAATGGCATTTATGTTCTTTTGAAGTACCTTCCACTGTGTGATGACATGCTTATTGGAAGAGAAAAAAGGCATTGTAAAATACAAATATAAGATTAAAAAAAATATATAAATGCGTGGTAGTATTCAGTGGAATTTTATGTTTACCTTTTGTCCCTCAAACTGCTCTGGAAGCCTCCAGTAAACGGGTTCTGACCGAAGATCCTGCATGACCTGTTCTATATTTGCTACTATTTCAGGAGGCTGGAATGCAATTCCTGAAAGAGTGCTACGTTGAAGCTTTTCATCCACCAGCGGCAGAATCATTTGCTCTGGCTTCAAGGTCACCTGTATATATTAAAAAAAATTGAGAAGAAAATCAAGTCTGTTTTTCCCTATGAAGTATTAGTCATAGAATCATCATAGAATCACATAGAATGGTTAAGGTTGGAAGGGACCTTAAAGATCATCTGGTTCCAACCCCCCTGACATGGGCAGGGAAACCCTCCACTACACCAGGATGCTCAAAGCCTCATCCAACCTGGCCTTGCACTCTTCCAGCAAGGCGGCATCCCCAACTCCTCAGGGCAACCTGCTCCAGTGCTTCACCACCCTCACAGTGAAAAATTTCTTCCTTATATCTAATCTAAATCTCCCCTCTTTCAGTTTAAAGCCATTACCCCTGTCCTACCACTACATGCCCTGTCAAAAGTTCCTCTCTGGTTCTTGTTGGACCCCTTTGAGTACTGGAAGGCTGCTAGAAGGTTTCCCCAGAGCTTTCTCTTCTCCAGGCTGAACAACCCCAACTCTCTCAGCTTGTCTGCATAGGAGAGGTGCTCCAGCCCTTGGATTATCTTTGTGGACCTTCTCTGGACTCACTCCAACAGGTCTATGTCCTTCTTTTGTTGTCTTTAAATTCTAACTCTTTACAAAAACTATACCTAGGTAATTTCATTTTGCATCATTAGCAATTTGTCACAAAACAGTCTTACTACTCCTTTAGGTATAAACAGTGATAATAATGACTGCCCCCTCAAGCCTTTTGCACCTTGACCTCATGTTAACAAAGAACATACTAGCACTGCTTAAAATGGTTTCATCACCACGTGATCTCATGAATTTTATCGAGGCAATTTTCAAAGTGATATTTCAGTCTTGGGCCTCTTCTGTTCAGATTGTGAGAAATGTACCTTATGAAGACTCATACTTCTCACCAACACTTATACATCACTGGGACTGTGGAACACAGTCCCTGATCCCTTGGTACTTTTACACAATAGTCGAGCTAAGTGTTCTCTGGGTAATATGCAGAGAATGAGGCTCAGGGTTTCTGTAACTCTAAATTCAGATTTAATGAAAGATATAAGGATGTCACTTAGATACTTATAATTTTATTAGACTTGTTGAAAGAGCCTCAATAGCATTATACAGAAATCATTATTTTGATTAAAAACTGTAATCAAAGTCTTGGCAATTCTGTGCAGATGAAACTATCACAGGAAGTGTGTGAACAAACTCAAAGGGCTGGTATCAAAATTGATTGCTCCCAAAGAGTGAGGAAAATAAAGAAAACAAATGCTGAGTCATATCTCTAACAGTCATCCCAGCAACAGGCTGTTCACGACATAGGGATCAGGTAACGAGAAAACCAAGCCCTGCACTCTACTTTAAGCATCTTGGTATTTCCATTTACAGCAGCATCTGTGAACTGACCAGACATAGAAGCATTCCTAACATTTCCAGCCCTAACTGAGATTTCCTGAGTTCCTATAACTTTATTTTACTGTTTACTACTTTAGACATCAAGAAAGTGGTCAACACATTTGAATTTCGGATCAGCCTTGCCTTACTGTCATATAAGACAGGATCTGCTAGTTTAAACACGTCTAATGTCATTTGAAGCACTTGAGAGTATCCAAAATAGCCACTAGTAGCTGGCAGAACCCAGTCTCACTAGTTTACAACTCTGAATCAATTCTGAAATATATCAGAGTACCAAAAATGAGACAAGACATGGACATACACTTGTTTAGATATGAGCATAAATATGGAAGGAAATTAATCAAGAGACATAAAATAATCAGGTTTAAATTATGTTTCTGCTTTGTGCTGCCACAAAGGTCAAAGTACAATTTTCCAGAACTGTTGCTGTCATGGAATTTGATTAAATGTTATAACTTGTCAGCCTTTTACAGCCTTTCATCTTCAGCCTATCAGCATATGATTAGCAAAACTGAAATAATGAGGAAAACTGGGTCAGAT